TATATATATATATATATATATATATATTATATATATATATATATATATATATATATATATATATATATATATATATATATATATATATATATATATATATATATATATATTACACTTAAGTCGAGTATATTAACGGTTGGCGCCCGTCTTGTTGCAGCTTTAAGAACGAGCTTATTGAAGGAACGTGAAGAATATGATTACTGAGGATGTTCACATTCCTGCACGTGATGGGAGAACAACAACCCTTAGCCTTCTGTCTTGTCTTGTCACAGTGTGAAAACAACTGGTGGCCTCAGGACTAGGTCTGTAAGTCAAAACAACAACTTGTGCTTCCTCTTTTCGGCTTGTGACTTGTGTGGCAACATCCCGTGGCATCTTGACTTAAGTTTCTACTTGTGTGAGAACAACAACCAGCAATATCTGAACGAGGCTTTTGTTAATGTGAGAATAACAGCTGGATGCAATCCTGAACTAGGCTTGTCGGTAGCTACAAGCATATCTACCTTCATTGGTAACTTAAACAGAAGCCTGTGACATGCAAGCGATATCAATATTGTATAAATTAATGAAGACTATCCTTTGCTGTGAACACGTGTTCATATTATTGGGTTTTACACGTTTCTCATATTGTAATGTTTCAACATGTGTACATGTTATTAAATGTAAAGCTTGTCACTGGTTGGTTTGTTACGTTTAAAGCTTATTGACTGCATGAAGGCCATTGAAGCTGCATTTTACTTATTCCATAAATTAGGAAATAAAGTAAACCTTATATGCGCCGAAATATACACTTGTTAGTACATATACATCTTTCGGTGGATATACATTGGCAGATACATGTTTATGTTAAACAAGATTAGAGATTTATAAAAGAATTAAATAATACAGAGTAAATATTAATTATAATGAAAATATTTTTGTAATTGTCCAGTTTTTTTATTGAATTAAAATATGTTTATTAGTTAAATAAAATACTTCTCGATATATTGAGTACAATATATTAATGTTACAGGGTAAAGTCTTGACTCCTTTCCAAACACGGTGTCTGAACAAATGTCTTAGGGTGAACCATATAGACCAGACGGAGCAGAGACGCCTATGCTGATAGTACCCTTGCTGAAGTCACTGACGCTCCCAGAGCTAACAAAACTACTGGCCCCTCCACTTGCGCCACCGCCTCCAACAATGCCACTGACGCCATCGCCGCTGCTACCAATGAGTTCACCGCCACCTTCAGAGGCGGTGCTGAGGGCAGACTGGAGGTCACCACCACTGGGTAAAGTCGGGTTCTCTCCCTCAGCATAGTTGACAAAGTACACCTCGGGAGCTGGCTGCTCAGGTCCTGGTGCGTGAATAAGCTTGTGATCATGATGAGGCCGCTTGTTAAGCACGTACACTACATTCCTTTGTTGTGGTGGTGGCACCACGATGGGTTCTTGGCTCAGAAGCTCCTCTGGGTACTGGATGAGTAAAATATTGTCTTCAACTCTTGGTGGAGGAACGTTTGGTCTTGGGGCTACGATCGGGGTTGCTGGAGGAACTTTGTACAAGAACAAGTTTCTGGTCACCTGAGGAGTTACACAGCTGCCATCCACATGCCGGACCTGCCCGTGTCCACAACTGACCACAGAATGAGAGGGACCAGAAAATGAACCGCCAAAGGACCCTGTACTCTCTCTGAAGAATCCTGCACTACCTCCAGAGAATCCTGTATTTCCTCCAAAGGCAGACAACGTTGGAAGACTGTAGCTCTGCAGCGAGCCTGCCGCGGCCGCTGCCAGTATGCACAACAATATCTGTGGAATAATGAAAATAGTTAAAGTGGACCACACTCAAACTATTTCACCAAGGTTGATGGACTGATTACATCATCCTTATTCTCGTCACTGTTTTCTGTTTCCCCTACAATCCATGTCTCTCACCAAATCTCTGCATTTGACTTAAATAAAGCCGACTCTGCGTAGGCGAAACGCTTCAACATTAAAAATATGAACCGCTGCCTATGTGTGTTACTCCTCTAACGAAAATATTTGCCCAACCCATTTTCAAGGCTAATACCCAAGGATAAGCTTACGATAACTTTACCAACTCAGGTTGTGAAGACACGTGGTCAACAGTGAGCTGACGCAAGTCCCCACCTCACTACTGAACAAGGTTAACCCTCACCATTGGAACACATCATGTCTCACTCCTAAACATAATCAGGAGTTTCTCACTACACCATACAGGCCAATTCACTATTGACACTGTACACAGGTCAGCTCACTAACTTTGGACACAGGTCAAGCTCACCTAGTGAACACAGGTCAGCTCATTAAACTGACACAAGACAGCACACTAATGAACACAGGGTTAACCTCTTGTGAACACAACATAGCTAAACGACTAGTTTTTCCACAAGAGACAGAGGTGTTTACAACTCAAAATTATCAGTGTATGTACAAACAATACCGAAGAGTTTAGCTTTGTCTTCTGTAAGTACACAGGTGAAATGCGACATAGTCTAGACCATATGCAGCCCGAAAGCTTTAGAACAATAAACCTAACAAAAAAAAAGTTTTTCTATAAGGGTTTAGACCATAACACCATTATTTGTATCTATCTCTCAGTATGTTCATATACCTTAATGTTCATTCCTTATTTTAATGCATTAAAGTATTTTTTTTTATATTAATGAAAACAAATGAACAGTGGCCTTACAGACTAATCAGCTGTCTTTATGTTTTCTGTAAAGTCTGGTGTGTTATTAATATTATGGCTTAATGGGGGGATTTCCACTATAATAAATAGGGATTTATAAGATTATTATTATCGATCTGATACGAAGTTTCAGGACTTCGGGCGCGAACACTACAAGACACTAGCCTAATGTCTCACGACTCATCACCCGCTCTTAAACACTTTAGGAGCACGTTTTACTTGTGAATGACAAATTAGATATTTAGTTTATATCACGCTTGTTTAATAAATATGGAGAAAAAACCAATATCAGATGTTTCGAAATATTTCACTTTTATCTGTCGATTAGGACTCTTGGGTTCGACTTTCTATTTCAGATCAACCTAATCCAAACACTGGAAAATAAAGCCCTTTCGTGATAAGTCCAACAACCCGTTAGTATCAGATATGTGTCATATATGTATCAATACCTAAAAAAAAAAAAAAAAAAAACCTAATGCTAAAAGAAAAAGGAGATCATTCTCTTTACCATTAAGATGAATTTCGAACTTCAAATAATAAGGCTGTCTGCTCTATTTTATGACTTGAATGATTATGCTTGTCTCATTTCAATGATGTGGGCTTCATGTTGGTTTAAAAAACATAAAATTTGGGTCGAATGTGAATTAAATTTCAAAGGAAGAACAGATGAAGGAAATTTCTTCCCGAGTTGTGTCCCAGCCTTGTGTGGTCACCTAATCAACCTCTTCAACCTCGAATCCTGCGATCCCTGCGATGGCAGCAAATTCCATTCTGAACCGACGAAAAAGCCTTAATAATAATGCAATGTATGAAAAACATTGGAACACACATACATTATATATATATATATACTATATATATATATTATTATAGATATAGATATATATTAATATATATAATTATATATATAATAATATATAAATATAAAATATATAGATAATATATATATATAATATAAATATATATATATATGTCGTGCCGAATAGGCGGAACATGCGATCTATGGCTTAAATACAACACTCATCTTGCCATATATAGGAGACAGTGAAAAGTTTGTGTACGAGCAATAATTTCGCCAAAATCATGTCTGAACCTAACGAAAAAAAATAATTTCACTTGTGTTTGTTTAGTATTAAATAAAAATTATTGTAATCAAATCTATAATAATTTATTTGGTTAGGCTAAAAAAATTGCGCTTGTTATATAAGGTTAGGTAAGTTTTCTAATTCCTTTTGTGCAATTTATAACAATTTTTACAACAACATTAATGAAAAAAAATATATCTCTAAAAGATATAAGAGAAAATTTTAGAAAGGATCTTTAATTTTTAAATGAGTGCTTGCAATTGACCCGCGTTTTACATATTCGATTCGGCCGACATATATTAGTATATAAATAAATATAGATATATAATATTATAGATATAAATATATATATATATAATATATATATATATATTATAAATATATAAAATATATTATATAATATGATATATATCTAGATATCTAGCAAATCTCAAACTCATGGGGATGTACCACTACCACCAAGGTATATTCCATCGTCTCAATCAACAGTAAGTGACCAACATATTCCACGTTCTGGACGCCAACAAACTAAGGACATTCCCTTTTTCCAACAAACACAAACATTTCAGCTACGCAAGGACATGTCCACAAAAACAGAGAAGAATTGTGTCACGCTTGATTCCCCCCCATGCTTCCCAATTCCCCTTCCTCCCCCCTCACTCCCCCCCGAAAAAAAAACACTGCTGTCCCCCTCATTAAACTCAGTATGTAAACTCAGTATGGCCCCTTGATGGCCGTGAGAAGGAATGCTCCCAATCCAAGGAAGTGCAGGCTTACCTACACTTCTCTTTGAGTGATCCTGTTGAACGCGCCTTGAGTGAACCTGAAATGCGACCGATCTGGAAGTGCGAAAAACAGGAAACGCCTCATATTTCCAAGGTCCTAAATGACCTCTAAGGACATTATGCTTCCCGCTTTGATTTAAAAAAAAATATAATTAAAAAAGAAATAATCAATTTAGCCGACTTCAAAGTTCGACGACGTCATGAGTGAAAGCCCAGAAAAGACAACGACCCCACGCGCTTTATCCAGGATACAAAACCTTTGTTAGTGTCTGAGCGTGCATACTCAGTCGAGTAGCCTGTCATTCCATCACACTTCATGATCACGACACTTCATTTTCATCCGATTTTCGTATTTGCATGAATTGCTTGTGTTGTGTGACATCACTAGGCTCCCCACGACTTTCCACATGATCTTTTGTCCCCTGTGTATCCTGGTAACTCTCTCCACAACTAATCACCCCTATAAGTGCACTTTGTTTTGCAATAGAGTAAGTTCGCCTTTCTCGTCCGCAAGCATACAACAGACGAGAAGGCAATTTATTGAAAACCCATGGGAAGTAATCTGTCAAGTGTTAAGTTCAGGGCTATAAGTGACAACAAGCACTTAAAATTAAGTACTTAAGTACTGTGGATCACCCACACAAATCTAAGGCTGGAGCTGGCTTTAATTATTTATAACCCACTACCGAAAACAAAACCTAGCAGATTTATACATACAGTACTATTAAACACACTTTTTTTTAGAAAAAGGTTGATATTTATAAATTGCCGTATCGATTGGACTTGAAATGATTTACACGAGTCGGAATCATGACTGGCTAAACAAGTAGTATATGGCCGCTGCGGCATTTTGTTCTAGATACCCGAGCCTGGATGTTGTTACATCACACACGCTTGTAACAAGAAGACTCAAAGGTCAGGAGAGAAATGTTTAAAAAAAAACTGGACGTTAACAAGGGAATAAAAACAGACCAAGATTAACTTAATGGGGAATGAGTACGAATTGTTTTATATGAGAATGACGGTTTAGGAAATTCATCTTAAAAATGTTTCGAGTCGGCCCAGACGGCGAAACATTTAAATAAAAACAGAGTAATACCGGATAAATAACTAATTTCGGATTAGTAATGAGTTCCTAGCATAATACTGTACATGGATCATAATTCAACACATGTTGAGTTTTAAATTTATATTCTATTTTACCATCGATACGAACACAACTGGGATGTTTACCAGAACGCTTAGTGGGGCAGAAATAACATCTTAAGAACGACTATAAACAGCTGTCTTTATTACAATATCCCCCAGATGAGTAAGATTCACTCTGATGGGGAGTTCGCCAAGAAAGAGCACGATGGAGAGGAATGCACGAGAACCATCCCGCAAATCTCGAGTTCAATATATTTATACTATTTGCTGCTATAGCTTCACGCGCCAGGCCAGCATTGAATACTTTGATGTTTGCAGACATGTTTTATAGTCGGATACGGGATCAAGGATTTTGATTGACGATATGCCGGAGTACGCACGAGGCCTGGTGTACATAGATGACCACCAGCCGTGTGCAAGGAGGCAGGAGGGCACCTCACCCCCCCCAACTAGGGATCAAAGGTGGTTCTCGGCTACTTGTATTACTCCCACATGATGAGACGTCGAACGAACTAGTGTATAGTTTCTGTTCGAAGTGCAATTCGCCTATAGATTATACTGATTCTATATTCAATCTTACCAAAAATATACGTAAATAATGGAATTCAAATTGTTTCTCAAGGTATCAGCGAAGTACAGTGGTATGTTAAATAGGAAGGATTTCCATATTTGATGAGGCCATTAGTATACGCTATTGTATTTTAGAGAAGAATAAACAATACGAATGTTGTTATTTTCTTTCTCTTCAGTCCGCTGGTTGTAAATGGGCTCTAATTAGGGCCTAATAGGTTGGCATCGTAATCGTTTCATCACTCACCAACATAATGAAGGCATAATCGTAAAATGGGATCAAAGAAAATTCTCACCTATAATATACTGTGAGAAAGTACACCCTCTCTTGCTGTAAATCTAATTATTAAATATCATATTTATTCCTGCAATGAAACATCGTTTAACTATTTGCTGGGCAACGAAGAACATTAATGAACGTTAGATAATGTAAAGAAAAAAACTGAATCGAGGAAAAGAAATGCTAAGCTAGATAAATGTTGTGATAAATCATAAAACGTTTAAATAATGTTAAGGTTTAGAGGATTGTTGGGAACATTATAAATCCTGGAGAAAAACAAGAAAAATATTAATTGCACACTCTTGTCAACTGTGAGCTCTTCATCCTACAAGGACATTCTCTAAGTTGTAAAACTTCAGCCTGTAACATATTTCAGTATTTTTCTAATTAATAAAATTGCCTTCAATGGCCTGAATAAATAACCAACGCATCGTCCCAGTCTTAGTTTATATCGTAGAATTTAATTCAGCAATATCTAAATGATGTATTAAATGAAGTAGATAAACTCTTCCCTTACAAATTAGAATAATAATAAATAGATAAAAAGATTAACGCACTACAGAAAATTTTTGGTTTCCAAACCATATTAATACACGAGGGTCCGTAAGGCTGCATGTAATCTATTCACCACCAAACAATGATTGTAACTCAGATATGGGCTCTAATGTGATTAAAGTAAACTTAAGGATTCTGGACAAACTAACCCTTCTACGTGTATAGAAACCAGGGCTTCTCTTGCAACCAATATATATTCTCATCAGGATATTTAAAGTTCTACTCAACCTTTTCCACCCATGATCACATCTGATTTTCTACGGGTTTTTTTGAGCTATCTATAGTGATTATATAAATTCTCCCGAGTATTAATAGGGTTGTGGAGACAGCTGTATTTTGGGCCTATTTAAGTAAAGGATCTGTTTTCCTTGTAACA